GGGGGGGGCAAGAATGGCTCAGCCCCTCCCTCCCCTTGCCTGTTCACAGCTGGTTGGCCTTCCAGGAGAGGTAGGCATTCCAAACAATCGCGACACCCTGGACCACAGCCAGCCTGGGGGAGAGACAAGTGGGAGGGGGGGAGAGAGCAAAGGTCAGCCAGCTGAGATGGAGGGGGTGGGGGGGTGCTGCACCTCCACTGCTGGACCAGCAGAAGGAGGGCAGCTGCTTTTACCTGTGGTTCAAGGGGACAAAGTAGAAGTTGGCTACTTGCACCACTGGCCAGATCTGGAAGAAAAGGAAGAGAGAGAGAGAGAGAGAGAGAGAGAGAGAGAGGTGTCAAGGGGAGCCTTCAAGGGGGTCCACAGAGCACCACCTTGAAGCAGCTCCCTCTTGGGTGCTCTCGGTGGGGTCAGGTGGTGGTGGGCTCATGCAAGGAAGCAAACCCCAACACTGGCCTCTGGGGCCCAAAAGAGGGAGGCTGACAGGCCAGAGCCCCCTCTCCATCCTCTCCCACCCCCTTGATGGCCGGGGGGGGGAGAGCACCCAAAGCTCCCTCTCTGCCCTCCTGCCAGGAGTGGGGGGGGGAGGGGCACTCACGTAGTAGTTGGTGATCAGAGCATCCTTGTAGTCCTGAAAGAGAGCAGAAGAGGTGGTGGGGCTTGAGGGCCCAAGCAGGAGGATGACGACACACACACAAACATACACACACAGCCCGGGGCCAGCTGGTTGGGGCCACGACCCCTCGGGAGGTAGGAAGAGCGCCTCAGAGAGACCACAAACACACACACACACACACAGCCTGGGACCAGCTGGTTGGGGCCACACCCCCTCGGGAGGTAGGAAGAGCGCCACAGAGAGAGAGGGAAGCTGCCGTGCTCGGGGCGGCCCCGGGGCCTTCTCTCCACATGCTGTTACCCACCAGACCCGGCCCCCACGGGCAGTGGGAAGGGACGGTCAGAGCTCATCGTCCTGCAAAATCTGGAGGGCTGCAAGCTGTTATCCTCCTCCTCCTCATCATCATCATCTTAGAACTGCAGAGCTGGAAGGGACCTTATGGATTGTCAAGTACAGCCTCTGTCAAGGAGGCCCAGGTGGGGGAGTCAAACCCCCAACCCCAACCCCAAGCTCTGCAGCCAGAGACCCAGCTTCCCTGAGCACAAAGATGTGAGGTCTAGATCACCTCACTATGGAAGCATTCTCATTATCATCATCATCATCATCATCATCATCCAACTGCAAAGTTGGGAGGGGCCCTATGTATCTTGGAGTCTAGCCCCAGTCAAGGAGGTACAGGGGAGGAAGGGGGAATCGAACCCCCAACCTAACCACAGGGACACCCCACTCGAGAGGCCCCTGGAAGGGGAAGGCCAGAAGATCCCTCTTCTCCCAGCTGAACAGGGCTGGGCTTTTCCCCCCCTGTTCCAGACAGGAATTCTGCCTTCTTTCCTTTGGGGGCAAAGTGGGGGGGTGTGTAGCGGCAGCAGAGGCCCAGAGAGCAGCATCCAGAAACCCAATCTGGCCAGAATGCTGGCCCCAAAGCGGCACCAGCAAAGACGCAGCACCCCAAACGGAGGTCTTGGGGGGGCAAGGCCACCCTAACTGCTGACCCCCAGGTAGGAGACGTCTTGGTTTAAATGGATCCCAGGGAGGGGCAGCTACATGAACATGGCAGGGCTCCGGCCCCAATTTGAGGGAGGGGGTTCCGCTACATTCCTTCCCTCGGATGACGAGGCCCTCGGAAGCGCCTCTTCCGTGACTCATCTCTGCAAACACGGCAGCCAGCGACGGTTTGGGTCCATGCGGGCAGCCAGCAAGCGAGCGAGCGAGCAAGCAAGCAAGCAAGCGAGCGTCTTGACTGGGCAAACAGAGAACAGCTCTGGCGAAGGCACCCGGGAGCTTGCTTGATGCAAGGGAGGGGAGGGGGCCGCAAGCCAGTTGGGGCCCCTCGGCCTGGCCAGCCAGCCGGCCAGCCTCGGGTGAGTCACCTGCACCGAGCAGCGGCAGGCAGGTGCCTCGCGCCGTGGGAGGCAGCAGGCAACGTGCCAAAGACAGGGGAGGGCGGCCACCGAGGCTTTCCGGAGCAGGAGGAGAGCCCAGACCAAAGGGCTGCCTGGTCCAGGACTCTTTTAGTTGGGAGGCCCGGCAGGGAGCCAGGGAGCCCACGGACCGGGCAAGAGGCTGACAGTCCCTCCTGCCCCCGCCAAGGGTGTACGTCAGTCTTCCCACATGCTCTGCAGGAAGAGATCCGTAGATCCTTCCTCTGGGAACTGGTCCCGGCCCTAGACTGGCTAGCATCTCTGCACCTTGTGGCAGAGAGTTCCTGGTTTCGCTGTCTACCTGGCAAAGGGCTGCCTTTTCTCTGGCCAGAACCTCTCAAGGTTCCTTTCGGTGGACGTACCCACTGGCGGGTGTCCTTCTGCCTGAGCACGGAGTGGAGGGGAAATCTTATGAGGAGCTCCCCGCACACCCACCCACCCACCTACCCTTGCCTGCAGGCCCCTGGTGGTGTGGTGCGCCTGCTCTGGGCTGGAGATCAGCAGAGGGGGCTGCTTGCGTGGCTTCTCTCCCGTCGTACATGCAAGCAACAGGATCCTGTTTCCTGCAGGTGGAATCTTCCACACCTCTGCTGTGTTTCCCCCCCCTGCCCCTCCCACTGCCCTTCTTCCCGGCCATGGGAACAGCTCAGCAGGCATTGTGCCAACCAGGAGGGGCCTCTGTCCCGCCAAGAAGGGCTTCGAGGAGGCTCACAAGGAGGACGGAGGAGTCTGAAAGGTGAGCCAGACGAACCGAGGCCAAGGGAAGGAGGAGGGCCAGTGTCTTTGCAGAGGGACCTGCAAGCAACAGGATCCTGGACCCAAAGGCAAGCCGCGTAAGCCCCGCAGGAGCAGAAAAGCAGGGCAGCCCCCAAATGGCTGTGACTGCCGGCCGAGAGGTGCAAGGGTCTCCTTGACTCCGCTTCCTCTGGAAATGCCAGGTGTGTGTCCCCCCCCCCCGCCCCCGCCCCTTCCCCAGCCCTGCCCAATCCCCAC